GCCCCCGGCTCCCCGCTCCCCAACTCTCCTCCGCCTGGCCCCGGCCCCCAGCCCTGTCGCGTCCCACTCCCCGGCCTCGCCTCCCGCCCCGGGACTCTGGCCCCGAAGGGATCCCGGAGCCCCCGCAATTGAGCAGAGCCCCTGGGACGCTGCACGTGCGCGCTCTCCCTTGCCGACGTCTTTATTTTGTGTCTTTGCGGTGGGAAGGGAAAGACGTGCACCGGAGGCCGCTGGGCACCCCTTCTCCCAGCGGTCACCTGGGGAGGGCGCCCGAGTCCCCAGGTCCCGAGGATACATGAGCTGGCACTGGGCGCGGGGACCGAGACCCGGGCGCACCTCGCGGGTCCCGGCCCACCCAAGGGTGCAGCTGGCTCAGAGCCGTCCGCTCGTCCTACCTACACCCGCCACCCCTAGGGGAACACTGCTGTCCCGGGGTCCCCATGTGCCCAGCCATACCCCCGTGGCTCCAGGACTGCCCCGCCGGACGCACGTGGACACTGTTCTCGCTCTACAGAAACTGAGTCCAAGCGGGGCAGAGCGCGGACACGGAGACATAGCTATTTCTCTTTAATGTATCTGTATAGATGCACTTTGTGTTCTATGCGTTTTTCCGTGGGTATCAATGGCACAATGGCCGGCTGCGCCCCGCGTCCCCCGGCCGCCCCGCCCTCCCCGCGCGCCCGGTCCCCGCCACCCGCCGGATGTTGACGGCGTTGCCTAGCGACGGAAAGATGGCCGAGGCCGGCGACCCGGCCGGAGGGTGAGCGGGGCCGGGGTGGAGAGCTGGTCTAGGTGGTGAGGGGGCCCAGGCCGCTCTCATCGGCCGTCAGTGCCTGGGGTGACCTCATGTCTCCCTTCCTAGCCCCTCTCGGCCCGCCTCTCCCATGCCCCTTTCCCCCACCTCTGTCTCTTCCCGCCCCACTTTGGGAGCCCGTCCCCCTCCGTCCACACCGCCCGCGCGGCCCTTCTCCCTGCTCACCTACTTCCCTTTGTCCTCCTTCCCACCCACCCTCTCCTCTCACTCCCAGCGCCCAACTCTCTCCCAAACCCGGGACGCGGGAGCCCGTAGTAACCATGGCAACCAGTAGGCTTGGTGCCTGCTTCCCAGCCGCAGCGCTGGTGGAGCGCTCGCAGCGGGGTGCACCGGGTACGCCTCGACCAGCCCAGCTCCCAGGCTCCCTCCTGGCAGGACAGTTCCTAACCCGCCTCACCGAGCTGGGTGGTAATGGCGGGGTGGGGGGGTGGGGGGAGGATGCCCGCGACTCCTGTGAATGTGTAGAGCACAATATACTTGGAGTTTGATAAAGATCCCTGCCCCGAGGCCTCTTGTCTCTTAGAAAGGAGAGAAATTCTATTTTAAAGAATATGACCTTTTTTACCTCAGATACTTCTGTTTTTGTTTTTAAGATAGGTCTTTGTGTACTGATATGGAAAGACGAACAAGTTACAGTAAATAAAAAGACTAGAAGCAGAACACTATAGTGTGATCTACTTGGTATATATACCCAAAAACCTACCGCCGTGGAGTCGATTCCAACTCATAGCGACCCTATAGGACAGAGTAGAACTGCCCCAGAGTTTCCAAGGAGCGCCTAGTGGATTCGAACTGCCGACCTTTGGGTTAGCAGCCATAGCTCTTAACCACTACACCACCAGGCTTTCCTTGGTATATAATATATATATCTGTGATATATATATTATATATAGTTTGGCATGTATGTGTATAGTGTGATCCACTTTGGTGTATACATGTTTTTATCTAATTTGTAAGCATTGAGCTGCTTGCTAACTGAAAGGCTGGCAGTTCAAACTCACTCAGTGAATCTGCAGGAGAAAGACCTGGCCATCTGCTCGCATAAATATCACAGCCTAGAAAACCCTGTGGGGCAGTTCTACTCTGTCACATGCGGTCGCTAGGAGTTTGAATCAACTCCATGGAACCTAACAGTAAATTTGTACACATATTGGAAGAAGTACAGCCAGAATGCTCCTTAGAAGTAAGGATGGTGAGACTTCGTCTCACATACTTTGGACATGTTATTGGGAGGGACCAGTCCCTGGAGAAGGACATCATGCTTAGTAAAGTAGAGGGTCAGCAAAAAAGAGGAAGACCTTCAGTGAGATGGACTGACGCAGTGGCTGCAACAATAGGCTCAAGCATAACAGTGATCATGAGGATGGCGTAGGACTGGGGAACGTTTCGTTCTGTTGTACATCGGGTTGATGTGAGTCAGAATCAACTCGATAGCACCTAACAACTATATATATATATATACTTATATATATATATATATATATAAATAATTTGGTGTGTGTAATATATGTATTCATGTATGTGAATATATATATGTGTGTGTGTGTTTAAATACATAGAAAATATTTTTAAAGAATATACACCTGACTGTCCCACTGTTTTCACTGGTTATGTTGGGAAAGGGGAGGAAAAGTCACAAGGGACATTCATTGTGCCACACATTTCTGTATTAGCTTGACCTTTTCTTTTTACAATGAGCTTATATTTTTAATTAGAAAAAAATTTTAAACGTAAATCATGGCATTCTTGTACTATCTAAATTACAGAAAAAAGAACGGAAAGTTTCTAGAGTATTTGTCCTTTTTTTGCAACTTTCTTATACTTTGTATTTTCCCCAGCCTTGTCACAGACACACGTCTATATTTAAGGTGACTTTTCTGGCTTCACTTAATCTAATTGTACAGTTTCTTTAATTTTTCAGTAACTGTGTTTTTCATTCATTCATGGGGCTACTACTTTGTGGCCCCAGTAACAAATGTGAAAAAGCCATGGAGCCGGCAGCCTAGAGGGGAGGCAGGTAATCAACAATAACCAGACCCACAGAATTTCAAGAGGTGATAAATGTGGGGCGGCAGGGAGCTATGATTTTAAACTGTGAAATTGTTTCTCCGAAACCAGGTCTCACCCAGAAGGCGGCTCCACTTCTGAAGGAGAGGAGGAACAAAATAATGAAGGCGACAGGGTAAGGCTGCACGTGGGAAGATTTTGGGCTTCAACTGGTTGGTTCCAGTTCAAACCCCCGCTGAGAATTTGCATGTCTAACAAGTTCCCAGGCTATGCTAACGCTGCTAGTTAGCGACCAATTCTGAGAACTACTAGTAGAGCACTGGGTCTCAAAATTTATTATACATAAGAATCACCTGGGGATCTTGTTAAACTGTAGATTCTGATTCAGTACATCTGGGGTGAAAATGCAAATTCTCAACAGGGGTTCAAATCCAATGAACCAATTCAAAGCCTAGAGATTTATTCTGGGCTTGTGTTGATAGCAATTCAAAACAGTAAGGACCTATCAAGTAAATTGTATGATCCTATCACCCTGCACTAGAATAAACTCGTTCAGCTGCAGAGAAACTCATTTTACGTACACCCTATTCTGAAATGTTGGCCACTAGTCAGGAATGCCATGGATAGTCTACGCTTGGATTGCCCTGAATTTTTCAGAACTCATTTCCTGTAATGAAAGGTGCAAAATTATTGCCAAAAAAAAAAAAAAAACCCAGATAAGTAAAAGCATGAGACATTGTCTCTTAGTGATGTTCATAAGAGCATACATGCAGTTTTCCCATCAGTCTAATTACACCATTTAGAATAAAACCTCACTAGATTCTTTGGAGTTCTTTTTTCTGACTTACTTCTCTGCCATACTGCTACAGGTCTTACCACTAGAGGATAGCCATGATCAGAAAAGTGAAGAACGTCTTGGTGTTACAGAGGACTCTAAAGGGGAAATCACAACCCAAGGAGAAGTTGCAACCGATGGAGAAGTCGCAACTGATGGGCAGGATGCAACCCAAGGGGAAAATGCATCCCAAGGGGAAGGCGCATCCCAAGGGGAAGGCACATCCCAAGAGGAAGGCATAACCCAAGGGGAAGACGCATCCCAAGGAGGAGTCAAATCTGATGTGGAAGTTGAATTTGAAGTGGAAGTCGAATCCCCTGAAGTGAAAATCAGTTCAGTATTCGACAGTGATATGGATTTCAGTCCTGAGGAACTGTCTGGAGATGAAGCAAGCTCCACATACCTGCATGAAAGAGTAAATGAAGGAGCTGATCTTGAAGATTCCACCAGTCCATCAGAACCAAGTGAAACATCAGAGCAAAGTGACCAGCTTGGCAATTTGGTGAGTAGCCCTGAGTTCTGCTTTATGCGTCTTACCGCCCATATGGCTCATCACCCTATGCAAGGAACTTAGGGATATGCTGTAACTACAAATTGCGATCCCCGTTAGAAATGGTTTAGCAAACTGAGGTCTCAGGATCCACTGCCCAATGCTGAGCAGCCATCTAGGCTCTTCAGGGTTTCCAAACCCAAGGTTGGTGACCTTCCATAACCACTAACCATGTAACTAACCATGTAATTAACCACGTAACTAACCACGTAGGGTTCCAGTCTCTAGACCAGCGCTTTCCAGTAGAACTTTCTGTGATGATGGTAACATTCTATATCTGAGTTCTCAGTATGGTAGCCATTAGTCACATGTGGCTACTGAGTACTTAAAATGTGGCTAGCATGAGGAAGGAACTAATTTTTTAATTTTTTAAATATTTTTATTTTAAACTTAAGAACTACCTGTTGCTAGTGGCTACCCTGTTGGACAGCACAGTTCCAGATAATAAGAACAATAACAATAGAACTGGAACCAAGACAGCAGAGTAAGAAGTTCCACATTCCCATCCTCCCACGGGGTGGGGAGGGGGAGAGAAAATGATGGTACTGGCGTTGTTGGAACTCTGGTGACCAGTTTGGGGATCCCAGTAGACTGGCGAAGGTTTGTTAGACTCTGAGACTTTTCTTGACGCTGGCTTGAGCACCACCTACCTCTGCTTGGCAGCCAGCTTGAAGTGGCAGCCATGTTTCCAGCTTGGAATCTTGGTTCTGGAGTGCGCAGAGCCCACCTTGTTAACAAAGTATGGTGCTTGCCTGTTTGAATCAGTCAAGTGTCAACCCAAAGGACTAAAGCACAGCATTTGTATCCATTTTGTCCATCTCCAAGGTCACTCAGGATGAAGGAGTGGCAGGTACAGCCCGAGGCATTGCAAAATGAACCAAGGAGCCCATGGCACACAGGGCAAAAGAGAGTGATTGAGACACCAGGGTCAATGCTAAAGTAGTGCTCCCATTCGAAAGAAGACGCTAGAGGGTAACTTGAAGCTGTGTGAAGAAATAAAGACCATCAGTAAAAGTAATTTCAAGGGCAAATATAAAGGCCAGCTTTGCTCCTTTTTTTTTTTTTTTTTTTTTTTTGTAAAGCAAAAAGAAAGTTTTATTCGGCATATATTCAAAAAGGCAAAAGTAGGAAGCAGACAACCATGCTACCAGAGCCATGTCTGCCCAAGTCCAAGGAAATATCACAGAACAGACAGAGTGGGAAAACAGACAAGCATGTTGCCACAGCCAAAGATCATTACAGAGTTATCAGTATATATTAACATTGCAAATGGGCAAAACCATTGAAAGCTTCACCTTTTCACAGATTGGCTAGAAACTGTGATCCTACATTTTGAATTGTCTTTCTTAACAATCTTTGGTACAGGTTTCAGTAATGACAGTCAGGAGGATCTTCATTGGTCTAACAAATTTTCCATTCACTAAATGCTAATAGAAAAAGACAAGAGTGAAAAGTCTTTTGTGTTCTGTTTGATTGGCTTTATGTGAAAGGTTCCCTAAAAGATATTTTCCAAGACTATCTGAGCTATTATCTTTATACCTCAGGGCCCAGTTGATGTGTCCTTGCCAGTCCTTGTGAGCCCTCCTGAGCCCAGCTCCAGCTGGGTCACCTTTTCTATGCTTAAGGACATGGAATAATATCTCCAACATTATTTACTAAATCATTCCCTCCTTTTGATCGGAGATTGGAGACAACACATCGAAGATCAATACCTGACTTAGTTGAGCTCCTACATGGCGGCCATTGCAGGCTCTTTAAACTCACGGTACTGGTTTTCCACCGGATACCATCTGGTTCTTCACCAGGATCAGTCACATTGGTGAAGTGAGCAGACTCAATGTACATCAACATTTTAGCCCGAGGCCTTCTTTTGCCTTTTACGTGTACAAGACAATAGAGGATAAATTTTATTATGCCTAATACTATCAGGATACAGACTATTACTATTCCTTGCAGTAGTGATCTAGCCCATGTACTTATTCCTGATGGTAACCAAGCAAACAAATCTGGTGTTTATAAGAGTGTTA